TGGTGGGTGCTGACACTGTTACACAGGCAATCATGGGGGAATCTGGAAAAGCAAATAGAGCAAGAGTTAAAAAGGAAACCATGGGCACAAAATGGCGGCTTGGGCCAGGCCAACTCCCCAAACCTTGTTGAACAGCTAACCTAAGTGCAGTTCCAACCTTGCCCAGAAATGTAAGTCTTCCCCTGTCAGTGAGGAATCCTCTGGTGAGTGCCAATAAGGTCCTCTGTCACATGGACCCTCTCCCTCTCCATCCCACAAGGAGGGGAGGTCATCTGCATGATTAGACCCCTATCTTCCCAATTAAGGGAAGGTGACCTTCAAATCAATCTGCTTGATATTGTATTTGAACACAGGCAGTGAGAAGTCAGAGATGTGAATGGGCTGGGGTGGGGGTGACACAGGGAAGGAAGTCCATAGGGAGTGACCCAAGGGCACGAGGGACAGGGTGACAGCAGGCTCCAGGGCTGGGTGCTGGGGAGCCATGTGTCTTCATGGGTTACTGTCTGGATGAGGAGAAAAGGCACGAGAGGTAGGGTCCCTTTTCCATGCCATGCAAGACTTGCTCCCCAGCACTCGAATTAGGGCCTCAGGGAGCACAATGGAGGCTGGTGACAGTGAGAAGCTGGAAGCTGAGAGGAGGGTCAGACCCGGAGGGGAAGTGAGAGTCTGAGTAGGTGTCCAGGGTTGAGGGCGGAGCCCATTTGCATTGTCGCGGAGACTCAGGGCAGGCGTGTGTGTTGAGAAGGAAGTCAGAAGAGAGGGGCTGCGTGTGGGGAGGTTTGTGAGAACAGACGCCAAAGACCCACTTTCCGAGAGAAAGAAAGAACATCTGCACATAAGATGCTGTTGTTGCAACTGGTGTTGCTCACGGTTCTTGTCCCAGGTGGTGACACTGACGACGGTGAGGACTCCCGGTGGGAACGTGTGTCTGTGTGTGTGTGTGTGTGTGTGCGCGCGCGCGCGTGTGCGCATGTGTGTCATATGTGCACACGTGTGCAAGTCTGTGCGTACTGTGCAAGTGTGTACACATGTGTGCATGTGTGTGCTTGTGTGTCTGCATGTGTGTGTAAGTGTGTGCATATAGGTCCCTGTGTGTGAGTCTCTGTGTCCGCATGTGTGTATGTATGTCTGTTTGCATATTTACCTATGTGTGTGCATACATGTATAAATCTGAGTGTGTGGGTGTGTCAGTGGGTTTGTGTACATACCTGTGTGTGCACTTGTGGTGTAGGTTCCCCGCCACACACCTGGGGAGTGAGGGATGTCAGCCTGGTTCCTTCCTGAGCGTCTCTGACGCCAGGTCCCTCTGCCCTTCTAAATGAAGGGTATGAAGCTCGGGACTCCTGGGCAGCACATGTCTCCAGAGAGAACTATGGCTCCCTGTCCTCCGGATTTTGGTGGCCTCCCTGGCACCTCAATTTTGCATTCTCTGTCCTTCCCAATGCCATTCTCTTCCTCAGTCTATCTGTTCCTGTGGCACAGATTTCCAGGAGCCAGTCTCTTTTCGAACCATCTTGACAACATCCTTTTACAACCATTCCTGGACACAAAATCTGGGCTCAGTTTGGCTGGATGGGCTGCAGACTCATGGCTGGGACAGCAAGACGGGAGCTTTCAGTTTTTTGCGGCCCTGGTCCAGGAGCAACTTCAGCAATGAGGAGCTAATGGAACAAGAAAAGTCATTTTATACATTCTCCATCAGATTTCCTCTGATCTTTCAGGACCATGTCAGTCAATGGCAGCTTGAATGTGAGTTCAGTTCCCTCGGGGCAGGTGGGATAGAGGTGGCCGGTGTGTGAGTCTCTTGAGTTTCTTTTTCCTCCAGGAAAGAGCCCCCACTGGCTTCTGAACCTCATGTGTTCCATCATAAAATGTTCAGGGGGCCGAAACTAGGACCTGATCTTGAAAAGCTGCATGTTCTCTGCTACTTCCCCTCGTCTCATTGACCTCAGGCTGTGCTCGCGTTTCTCCACTAGTTTCTCCTGTGATTACCCCATTCCCTGGCCTCTAGCCAGGCACATCCCTCTCTTTCACTGTGTGACAGATCCTTGAAATGTGCTTTTCTCCCCATTCAATCCCGTCAGCAAACTTTGTCTATGTGTTCCCTATACCCAGTGCTCTCCCTTCACCCTAGATGATTTTATCCCAGCTCTCTCACGGAGCTCTCCCCTGTTCTCTGCCCACATCCTTCCTGTTTCCCCTAAAACATTTGTTCCATCTCCAGTAATTTACCTCTACCTCTGTCTCCAGTGACCACCACTTCCCATCGGTCTGAACTTCCACTCAAACCAAACTTTGTTCCATTCCCTCCAATATGCTCAACTTCTCCCTCTGATTCACCCATCGTTGGCTTCTACTCACTTCATTTCATCTCTTTCCCTCCCCCTTCTTGTAACCCAGAGCCTCACTTTTCAGATCCCTTTCAGGTACAGGTGGCAAAAGGCTGTGGGCTACATGTTGGGGAACAGTCAGTAGGCTTCATGCAGATTGCATATGAAGGATCAGATCTCGTGAGCTTCCAGAACATGTCATGGTGGCCATCTCCAAAGGGAGGAAGGAGGGCTCAGCAGGTCTCCAAACTATTCAATCAGTACCATGTGGTCAACTTACGAATACAAGCAAGTATTAATGACGCCTGCCCCCGTTTCCTCTTGGGTCTTCTTGATGCAGGAAAGGAAGATCTTCAGCGACAAGGTCAGTCCTGCTTCCTCTTTCCAAGAATTCTCACTCTGCATTCAGAAATTTGCACCATTTCCTCAAATTCAGGGGAGAAGGAGGCAAGGGAGAGAGGTGATGATGGTGATAGGTTTCTAGAGGTGGAAAGATGTGTGTATCTAAAGCGATGTGAAATCTACCTTCTCAGTCTGAGAATTCCTGTCCTGTCTCTGCAGTGAGGCCAGAAGCCTGGCTGTCCACTGGCCCCAGTCCCAGTCCTGGTCGTCTGCTCCTCGTGTGCCACGTCTCTGGTTTCTACCCAAAGCCAGTGTGGGTGACGTGGATGCGGGGTGACCAGGACCACCAGGGCACCCGACGAGGCGACGTCTTGCCCCATGCTGACGGGACATGGTATCTTCAGACATCCTTGGACGTGGAAGCCAGAGAGGCATCTGGCCTGTCGTGCCGAGTGAGACACAGCAGTCTAGGAGGCCAGGACATGGTCCTCTACTGGGGTGAGAAAGGGTAGGGGTCTAGCTGGGAAAAGGGGTGGGTGGTCCTGAAGCAGAGCAGGAGAGTGAGATGAAACATTTGGGATTCTAGGGACTCCAGACCATAAAGGACAGAAATGTAAGAACCCAAGAAATGGAGAGCTGAGGGTGAGGGTCCTATGGATGTGGGAGGAAGTAAAGGGTTGGGTGAAGTCCATCACTGAACAGGGATGGGAAAAGAGAAAGAGGAAGGGTGGTTGGTGAGACAGAGGGTGACGGGAGCAAAAGGGACCAGGAAGGTGCAGTTGAACCCAGGATGGATGGGAATTGACACCCTCTGTGCACCGAACCCACAGAGCAGCACCGCCCCGTGGGCTTGGTCTTCCTGGCGGCGGTCGTGCCCCTGGTGCTTCTGCCAGGTCTTGCGTTCTGGCTCTGGAAGCGCTGGTAAGACTCTGGAACCATGTTTCTGCTCTTTCCCAACTGTGTCTTTCCCCTTGTGTCTGTCCTCACCTTTCCTCCTCTCAGTGCTCCTCTCCCTGCAGTCCTCACCTCCACCTGCTGCAGAGCATTTCCAATCTGTTCCTCCCAGGAAATCACACTGGAGACCTCAGTGCACTGGCCTCCCTTTGGAGAGAGATCCCAGCAGCCCAGGACCAGGACGTCCCTAAACCCAGCTCAGATGATGGACTTGCAAGTCTCTGTGTGCAGCTTTTGTCTTTTCTTTCTGCTCAGTGATCAGTTGTCAAGATGAGTTAAGTGTAATTTAGCAGAATTTGTTGTCCCACAAACCTCCATGAGCCACTGGCATCAGGCGTCACTTCCTGCAGTGAGCCGTCCCTTCTTCACAAGTCAAAGAAGTTTTTGCTTGGCGGGAATTAGCCCTACGTTTTCCTGCACTTGCAAATCTATTCCTGACTCCCAGCCCTTGTTACCAACAGTTAGGGTCCTTTCCCTTCTAATTCTTAGGACTTTAGAGATGAGGTCCATGTCTTTTTAATATTTGTAACCTTGGCAAGGAATCTCCCCTGCATGGAATATGTCCTCAATAAAATCTGTGTTGCAGTTTTGTCAATATCATAGGTTTTTCTTTTTCTTTTGCATCGTGACATGTTTGTAGTAGTTGAGACATTTGCACATGTGGACATTCACGGAAAATAACGTTGAGGATGGGAGAGGTGGCAAAGGTGAAAATTATTGGGAAAGGGAGAGCAAATTATGGGACTTCCCCAAACGTCTCTCCTAAATTAGGCTTGTTGACTGGTTCTCAAGGGTCCAGTCCACCTTGTCACCCTCGCATGGCTGCCATGCGATGTTTGATTGGTTGAGTCCACCCCCAGGTGTAGCCCTGGGCTCCGATCACCTTGAGTCTCTCAGGAGAAAGTATCCTTGACAATGTGACAGGATGACGGATGGGCAGGTTACATCAAGTTCAGGCCAAGACAGAAGCTACTTGTCCTTGTTCAGAGTGATGGTTCAGGGCTAGACGCCTGCTCCAGGTGGCTCAGGTCACAGGCATTATGACTCTTGTGGTCAATGGCAGGGAAGGAGATGGTGTCTCTTGTCCTGGATAATAAGGCTGGGGTATGAAGCCTGAAACAACTACAACCCATTTTTCAGCATCAGGGAAGCAAGGCTGAGGATGACACCTTCATGCAAGAAGGGGGAGAAGTTGCGCACGTGACCTTTTCCAAGAGAGTGGATCCAAAGCGTTCTCATGGCAAGAATGAGAAGAAAAGAAAAGAAAAGAAAGAGAAAGGAGAGCATCCAGATGGGAGCTGGTGGCTGTGTTGCCTACTGTGCTTGTGGGCTTCGTGTCACCACGGACACACACACCACACATCAAGCGTGTACTTCATTTTATGCTCTTTAGAGAGAACAGAGTTTATTGCTCAACAATGAAAAGTATTCAAATGTGGGAGGAATGCTACATAAAATATCGATTTTCATGGTTTGCTTGAATGCAAGCTTTCTTGACCAATTCTTCATTTTCCTAACAAATGCTGCATGGCACACCAGAGGCTCTGCAGCTAAGCACGGAGGCATTCGTATCCAGCTCCCGACACGCCCCGTGTGCACTGGGCTCCCGAAGTTCTTCAGGCCTCGTCTCTGAGAAGTTGTTGGAAGACGTTCATCAGGAGGACCTTTGTTCATGTTACATGGTAGTCTCTGCTGCTCCTGTTAGTGCCGGCGGGGGTCCACGTGGCCCATCGTGCCTCCCAGGTTTCCTCCCTGGCTGGTCAGGAAGCCGCATGCTGTACAAAGGTACAATTTTCATTTAAAACGTTTTTTAATATTTTTCATTTATTTTTGAGAGCGAGCGCGCGCGAGAGAGACAGAGTTTGAGTGGGGAGGACCAGAGAGAGAGGGAGATAGAATCCGAGATAGACTACAGGCTCTGAGCTGTCAGTACAGAGTCGGACACAAGGCTCAAACTCATGGATGGTGAGATCATGACCTGAGCTGAGATCAGGCACTTAACAAACGGAGCCTCCCAAGCGCCACCCCCCCCCCCGGTTTCGTTGGTGATCATACTTCATTGAAGCCAGAAAGAGCAGCCACAATGAAACCAAAACATCAGGAAACTGAAGGCAGACACACAGACCCACAGAAGGGACTGGAGCCCCAACAACCCTGGGCTCCGCAGTTCCGTCAGCTGATATATTCCCAGTATGTCTTCAGCTCTACAGGGTGGATTTCTGTCTTTTGTGACTGGACACTCCTCTCTGATGGATGTGGATGTGGTCCATGGGGAGGTTGGGCTAATGTCTCTCTTTCTTGCAATGTTTTTCCTCACTTCTCTCTTCCTCTCCCTGAGTTCTTGAAAATATTCCTTTTCTTGCCTGCTTGCCTTTTTCTTCATGTGTCCTCATGTGTCACACTCTTACCCTGTTTTACTTGGTAATCCTGACATCTGGGTGAGGCCCCATCCTGGGTGTTCTCATGGGTTTCTAACAAACCACTGGTCAGGAATCCATTGCTGAGTAAGTGACTGGTAAAAATTCACTCCATGGTTTTCCTACAGATGACAGACAAGCTGTACCAGCCTCCATGAAGCAGGAAATGTTGTGACAATGGCAGTTAAATCCTCAACATGCAGGAATTTTCCATGGATTTCCTTTACACACAATATGTTCATTTTTTCCTTCCTACCCTCCTCCCTCCCTTCCTCCCTTCCTCCTTTCCTCCCTCCCTCCCTTCCTCTCTCCCTTTTTCCCTTCTTTACTTCCTCCCTTCCTCCCTTCCTTCCTTCCTTCCTTCCTTCCTTCCTTCCTTCCTTCCTTCCGTTATGCCCAGAATTCGTGATCCCCAAAGACCACCATGGAGCCGAGTCCGATGCAAAAGCAAAGAGCCTTTCTTCGAGCTAGCTCGAGCTCAATCCCCTACCTGCACCGACGCAGTGGTGAGATGCTGGAGAGAGCCAGTGAGTTTCAAAAGCACAAAGGTTTTATAGGGGTCTAGGGGCAGTTGGTGAGGTAATGGTTGTGGCCTTAGCTGATTGGCTGGAGAAGGGTTGTGGCCTCAGCCAATTGGCTGGGGAAGGGTCGGAGTCCCAATATGCAGGTTGCTGGGTGTGTTTTGATCGGGAAATTTGAACAGGTGAGCAGGAGGTTACTCAAGGGAAGGAGGCCTGGTCTGAGGTTTCTGCGATTTTCCTGGAAAGGGGGCCATGTCAGGGACATAGTCACTCAAGGTGGAGGACACAGAACAAGATGGAGTTGGCCGGCATAGGTCCGCTCTTTCATTCCCCCTCATCATGTAGCTTGCTGACCCAATCATGGGACCAGCTGCATTTCTATTTTGTCCTCTTCTGTTTTTAGGGGCTTGCACTTAGCACAGAGGACCATTAGTTGGATGGACCCCACGCGGTCCCTGACAAACCGGACCAGTCTGTTGATTATACAGGGTTCAAGGGTTGCTAGTATGAGCAGGATGGTGAGGGGTCTGGCAAGGGCCGAGATGAGGGTAGTTAACCAGGGAGACCAGTTGAACAAAGACTCGTATGAGGACTGAGATTATTCTCTCTCTAACTTCCGTTTTTGCAGCTGTTCCCTTATGAGGGCCATAGATTCTTTTACGACTCCCCAAGTGATCAACATAGAGGCAACATTCTTCCCCTAGGGCTGCACATAGTCCTCCTTGCTGCAGGAATAATAAGTTTAATCCCCTTCTGTTTTGGAGTACTAGTTCTGATAAGGAAGTAAGGGATTCCTGTAAATGAGAAATTGATTTTTCAATTCTTTCTATGTCTAAGTCAATGGCTGCCCTTAGGGTTCCGTAGTTTTTGTCCTGGATGATGAGTGAGGATATTCCGGTCCCCGCCCCCGCTAATCCCAATCCCAAGAGCACAGCCAGAGTTAAGGTTGTAATAGGCTCTCTTTTACTTCGGGGGTTAGCAGAGCCTAACCTGTTAAGTATTTCTCCCCACAAATGGTACACTAACTTGGGGATCAACTGCACGAGTAGGCAGAAGCTTTCTTTCGAGGCGTTAAGGACCTGGGAGTGGACACAGGGAGTAAGGCCACTGGAACAGGCCCACCATGCATTTTTGGGGGGGAGTAGATACACTGTCTCCCTGGGGACTGTTTGGGTTTCATTACAGAGATGTGATTGCTCGGGGGGTACGTGGCCTATACAAGTGCCTTGCCCCGTTACCGCCTGGAGGGTTAGCCTTGCAGTAGCCTGCTGCCATCTACAGGAGCTAGAGTTGGAGGCTGTTGTATAATTGCCTTTAATGGCAATACCTTCGTAATATGGGGGCCAGACATCTAGACAGAGCCAACAGGCCTTGGTCAGGTTGGGTCTAGAAGTGTTTAGTACCTGGTATGCTCCGACAACCGTGCTCCACAGGAGGTCTGCATCAGATAGTAAGTTGTGACCCGGGGCAGGAGATGCAGGTGACTCTCTAGTAGGGACAGGGGATGTGGAGGGCCGTGTGGCTGGGGCCTGGGTGTTTCTGGGAGTGGCCATCTGGGTGGGGGCAGGTTGGGGAACTAGTACTTGGTTGGGTCCTACCCTCGTGGTGGACTGCTGGGTAAGGGGAGTCGCTTGCATTCAGAGGGTAAATAATACTCCCTTGTCTTTGGCTCCCGACCTAACCTGGTCTTATATCCTGAGTCCCCATGTTTTTCCACTCTCCCATCCTGTTGTTTTTTTTACCTTGGCTTGTAAAGGATATAACTATGGGATTACCGCACCCCCAGACATATGGTGGTTGGGGGCCACTGGGCCGCATTACCACGATGAGATCTCTGGTGCGTGGTGGGGTCCACTAGATGTGCCCCATCGAGACACATGACCAGGGGGCGCAAAAATAGTCAGCCACGTCCCCGCATGTGCTCGAGCGAGAGTGGCCAGGGCAGACATAGAAATAAAGGTTCTGCGCATGGAATCCAGGGGCGTATGGTGACAAGGGGAACAGAGTTTGGAGATATACACAAAGTTCTGGGAACCAAGTGTCCCTGGGGTGGCTCTGGGAAGTCTGATTAAGTATTGTCCCTGAACTGGTGTCTATGATCTGCCAGGTGATGTTTTGGGGGGCATGGGGACTCTCGGCAGCATGAGCAGTGCCAAACAGAGCTAACAGAGTTACCAAATTAGGTGGGTCGAATGCGCTGTAGCTTGAGCTTGAGCGGGTTGTGGTGGTCCCAATTGACAGCCCATCGCATGACGAAGTCCTTCCGGATCGAGGAGGGGTCTGCTGGCCGAACGTGGGTGTGATGGACCCAGGTCGCGATGCCGTCTACTTTGAGAGCAGTGGGGGTTGTCAGCACCATGGTGTATGGTCCCTTCCAGGGCGGCTCGAGGGTCTCTCGGTGGTGCCTCTTGACGTAGACCCAGTCTCCTGGCCTGTACTGAAGAGGTGTCGGGGTTGGGCCAGCCTCGTAGATGGCAAGGAGGTGCGGCCAAATGTCCTCGTGCGCCCTCTGGAGCCCTCTCAAGGAAAGAAAAAGTTCTTGATCTTTAAACTCAGCAAGAAGGTTGGGAATAACAGGGGGTGGCCTGCCAAACATGATCTCGTAGGGAGTAAAACCCAGAGTGTAAGGAGTGTTTCTAACCAGGTAAAGGGTGTACGGTAGGAGGGTCACCCAGTCCCCGCCAGTCTCCATGGTTAATTTGGTAAGGGTCTCTTTTAGGGTTCTATTCATTCTTTCTACCTGTCCTGAGCTCTGGGGCCTGTAAGCACAAGGTAATTTCCAGTTTGCCCCCACCACCTTGGCTACTGCCTGTGTTACCTGCGAGATAAAAGCTGGTCCATTGTCTTATCCTACCATGGCAGGAAAACCATACCTGGGTAAGATGTCTTCTAGTAGCTTCTTAGCCACCGTCTGAGCCGTTTCATGCTTGGTTGGGTATGCCTCCACCCAGCCAGAGAAGGTGTCTGTAAATACTAAAAGATATTTAAAACCATACTTTCCTGGTTTGACTTCAGTGAAGTCGACTTCCCATTGGGCTCCCGGTCTGGTGCCTCTGAGCCTGGTTCCTTTTTTATTTGATGTGGCTCTCGCGTTGGTGAGTTGGCAGGTCTTGCAGGCAGATACAACTTGCTCTATTTTGGTGTCCTGTTGGTGCATCTTGATTCCAGCACGTCGGATTAAGTCTTTTAATTTTCGGGCCCCCATGTGAGTAGACCGATGCATGTGCTCTAATACTGAGACTCCCAGCTGGTCTGGCAGCACGAGCTCCTTGTTAGGTGTATACAACCATCCCTTTATCTCCTGGGCCATGGGGAGTTTCTTGATCCGCTGTAACTCCTCCTGGGAGTATTTGGGTTGGTCTGGTAAAACTGGGTGTCCTGGGTCTGGTAGTTGTATGGTCATGGTGGGGACTAAAGTAAGGGCTACTGACTTGGCTGCCTGGTCAGCCTTTTGATTACCTCTAGCTACTGGGTTATCAGCTTTTTGGTGCCCTTGGCAGTGGATAATGGCTAGCTTGGCAGGAAGCCATAAGGCCGTAAGCAGGTCAAGTATCTCCTGTTTATTTTTTATAGTCCGTCCTTCTGCCGTCAGTAACTCCCTCTCCTGATAAATTGCCCCATGAATATGAGCTGTGGCAAACGCATAACAGCTGTCTGTGTAGATGTTAAGCCGTTTTCCAGCTCCCAGCATCAGCGCTTTGGTGAGGGCTATGAGCTCTGCTCGCTGGGCTGACGTTCCAGAGGGTAGAGCCTCCACCCATATGGTGTCCGTTTCAGTGACCACCACTGCACGTGCATACCTGTGTCCGGCTCGTACAAAGCTGCTCCCATCAGTGAACCAAGGAGCCTGGGCATCAGGGAGGGGCCGGTGGGTCAGGTTCATCCAGAATCCATGTACTTGTTCCAGGATTCCCGCACAGTCATGTAGTGGAGCACCTAGGTCAGGATTGGGCAGCAGGGTTGCAGGATTGAGGGCTGCACTGGGGTGGAACCGCACCCATGGAGGGTTGAGTAGGAGGCTTGGTAATGAGTCATACGTGTGTTGCTCATCCATCTATCAGGAGGCTGTTTCAGGACCCCTTCAATGGCGTGTGGGGTAGTGATCCAGATCTCCTGTCCTAGGGTCAGTTTGTCTGCGTCCTTGACTAGGAGTGCTGTCGCTGCAATAATTCTTAGGCATGGCGGCCAGCCGGCAGCCATTGGGTCTAGCTTCTTGGACAGGTAAACCACTGGGTGGTTCTGGGGGCCTAAGGCTTGAGTTAGAACCCCTTTTGCTATTCCCTTATGTTCGTCTACAAAGAGGTGGAAGGGCTTCGTAATGTCTGGTAGGCCCAGGGCTGGGGCACTTAGGAGGGCCTTTTTTAACCGATTAAAGGCAGTTTCTTCTTTTTCAGCCCATTTAAATGTTTTCCCCTTTTTGGTAGCTTCATATAGGGGCCTGGCGATCTCAGCAAAACCCGGAACCCAGAGGCAGCAGTAGCTGGCCGATCCTAGGATTTCTCTTACTTCTCTTCAGGAGGTGGGAATAGGGATCTTTAGGACAGTTTCTTTTCTGGCATCTGATAACCACCACTGTCCGCCCTCCCGGATATATCCCAGGTAACTTACCCTCTCCCTGCATATCTGAGCCTTCTTCGCGGATGCCCGGTACCCTAAGGCCCCCAGGGTAGCCAGCAGGTCCTGGGTCCCTCACTCACAGTCTTTGGCCATGTCGGTAGCAACCAGGATGTCATCTATGTACTGTAGGAGGGTGAGGCCAGGGTACTCCCTTCTGTACTCACCCAGGTCCTCGTGTAGTGCCTTGTCGAAGATGGTGGGTGAATTTTTGAATTCCTGAGGTAGCCGTGTCCAGGTGAGTTGCCCACTGTAGCCCTCCTCCGGATCATGCCACTCGAAGGTGAACAAGGGTTGGCTCTGGGGTGCCAACGGCAGACTGAAGGCGTCCTTTAAATCTAGTACAGTATACCAGACCCTGGAGGGCGCCAAGGAGCTCAAGAGAGTATATGGGTTGGGAACAGTTGGGTGTATGTCTGCGACCCTCTTATTTACTTCCCGGAGGTCTTGTACCGGTCGGTAGTCATTTGTGTGAGGCTTTTTGACCGGCAGTAGGGGGTGTTCCAGGCAGACTGGCAAGGAACTAGTACCCCTAGGCTTCGTAGTCTCCGGTTGTGTGGCTGGATCCCCTTCTGGGCCTCCTGAGACATGGGGTTTTTTTGATCCTTACCTTCTGCTGTGTTGAAATCCCACTGGGGCCAAGTTAAGGGGAAGGAGGCATCTATCTGAGCCTGGTTGGTGGTGGGATTCCCGTCTGCACCTGGAACTAGTTTTCAGGCCTCATTGAGGATTCTTTCTCTTTTCCTCAGTCGTGAACAGGACCTGCAAAAGCTGCTGGCAATCGTCCTACGTGGGCTGATGAGTAAAAAGAACAGAGTCTAATAAATCAATAAGCCCTGCCAGTTTCTCGGAAAACTTAGGATTCTGAGCTTTCCAATTGTAGAGGTCACTAGTGGCGAAAGGCCAATAGTGATGGGGCTGATTCCCCTCCGCATCTAGGGGTCTGGTGGCTTGCAGGGGCAGAATAGTGGAGTCGGTGGCAGAGGCGGATTGCTCCCTCTGAGCCCTTTGTCTGGTAAAGGGCGGTCTTCCCACTGGAGCATTTCCACCTCCTGCTTTCAGAACAGTGTCTGCCTCCCCCGGAGGGGGAGGATGGTGTTCTTCCAGCATCCTAGGGGGGTTATATGGGGGAGGAAAAATTAATTCATCTTCAGTCCTCCCCCCCGTTGGACAGGGTAGAGGGGTGTTAAAGGTTGGGTAAGACCTTTCTTGTTCTCCTTCTTCTCTGTCCCCTGCAAAGCAAGAATGGGTTTTGGCTCCAGAGGGCGTGGGGCTAGGAAGGGCTTAAGCCAAGAGGGTGGGTCTTTTACAAGGTCCCGCCAAGTGATAATGTAAGGGAGCTGATCAGGATGGCCAGTCTTAGGCGGAGAGATGATATCCCTGACTCGGTGGATGGTAGGGAGGTCTCGAAGGTTCCCTCTGGTGGCCATCCAACATTGAAAGCTGGCCACTCACTAGAACAAACAACCTGCCACCGACCCTTTTGGACTTCCACACTGAGGTTGTTAGCTCTTCCCCTCACATCCTTAAAGTGATCAATCTTAATACTTAGAGGAGCAGTCTGAGTCTGTCCCATAACGTCCGTCCAGTAAGTCAACAGAACAAAACAGAGAAACACAGAAACAATCAGAGGGCCCCTAGAGACATTCTTCCAACTACGTGGAAGCAAAACTGAAAGCTAGATGATGGTCTCGTGCCAACTGGTGGGAGCGACCCGCCTCGTCTCAGACCTTTGAGGGCAATCCACGTCCCTCCAGAAGGGAGGATCGGAACGTCTTCCAAAACTCCTGCCCGTGGTCCTCCAGTGCGTCCACTTAGACCACGCCAGACACTACCAGAATTTCAGAAATGAGCTCACACAGAAAAGACGGAACAAACATAACCGTGGCCAGTCAGGCTCTCCGGGTGGGGGGTCCCTCGGGGCTCTTGGAGATCCCGGACGAGCCCCCAAATATTATGCCCAGAATTCGCGATCCCCAAAGACCACCATGGAGCCGAGTCTGATGCAAAAGCAAAGAGCCTTTCTTCGAGCTAGCTCGAGCTCAATCCCCTACCTGCACCGATGCAGCGGTGAGATGCCGTAGAGAACCAGCGAGTTTCAAAAGCACAAAGGTTTTATAGGGGTCTAGGGGCAGTTGGTGAGGTAATGGTTGTGGCCTTAGCCGATTGGCTGGGGAAGGGTTGTGGCCTCAGCCGATTGGCTGGGGAAGGGTCGTGGCCTCAGCCAATTGGCTGGGGAAGGG